TTCGCAATCATGGTTGGACCGTTGTACAAGATCCTGAAAAGAGAATGGGACCATATGCTTATAAAGGGAGTCAATGGGTTAGCTTCGATGATGCTGATTCGATAAGACGGAAAGCTCAATTTGTCAGGAACATGAATCTTGGGGGAGGAATGGTCTGGGCATTAGATCTTGATGATTTTAGAGGACGATGTGGAGAAGGACCTCATCCACTTATGCATACCCTACAACAGGTCCTTTCTGAACCACCAAATCAACTTGACGAGCGTACGTATTTTTATATTATTTTTATTTTATTATTTGATGATATTACATTTCTCATTATGTTTTTTATTGTGGCGTTTATACAGCAATTAAGCCACCAAGTGTTGGAAGTGATCTGGAATGGAAGATGCCTGTCGCTTCAGACATTACTTCAACAGCAATGCCTACAACATTGATGGAACCTGAGCATACCACTTCAGTAATAAAACCTGATGATTCCAAAGGATTTAAAGTTGTTTGTTATTTCACCAATTGGGCATGGTACAGACAAGAAGGTGGAAAATTTGTTCCAGAAGATATCGACGGTGATCTATGCACACACATCATTTACGGTTTTGCTGTACTTGATGGTTCCAGTTTAACGATAAAAACTCATGATAGTTGGGCCGATATAGATAACAGTAAGTATTTGTTCTATTCAAATTATGGAGCTTGAAAAAAAAAATAGATATTTTTCTTTATTTTGTAATAATTTTTTTTTATTACAGAATTTTATGAAAGGGTAGTCGCTTATAAGTCAAAAGGTATCAAAGTGTTGTTAGCAATTGGAGGATGGAATGATTCAGCAGGTGATAAATACAGTCGTCTAGTAAATTCAGCTAGCGCTAGGCAAAGATTTATATCACATGTTTTACAATTCCTTGAAAAATATGGTTTCGAAGGACTCGATTTGGATTGGGAGTATCCCGTTTGTTGGCAGGTACTTTCTTGCATAAATACATTCATTTATTTTTTGACTAATTTAATAAATAATTGCGTTCTAACGAAATGATGTTTATTTGTTACATTCTTTAGGTCGATTGTAACAAGGGTCCAAAATCTGATAAAGAAAGTTTCGCTCTTTTAGTACAGCATTTAAGTAAAGTATTTAAACCGAAGGGTCTATTATTATCTGCAGCTGTTTCACCAAGTAAACGAGTTGTCGATGCTGGCTATGACGTCATTTCCTTAGCTAAATATTTAGACTGGATATCTGTCATGACGTACGATTACCATGGCCAATGGGACAAGAAAACTGGACATGTAGCTCCCCTGTATGCACTTCCTAATGATTGGGAACGTACTTTTAATGCCGTATGTTTTCTACTTTTTACAAATATCTAATTATTACTTCAAACTTGTTAATGTATGAAAATTTTAAAAATTTTTATTTAAAGAACTTTTCAGTTCATTATTGGCTAGAACAGGGTGTACCACCGAAAAAATTAGTAATGGGTGCACCTATGTATGGTCAATCCTTTTCCTTGGCGCAAAGTACTCAACGAGGATTAAATGCACCGACATATGGCGGTGGAGAAGCAGGTGAAGCTACGAGAGCAAGAGGTTTCTTGTCTTATTACGAAGTACGTAAAATCCATTTGTTTCTATACATTATCTCAATCTTGAAAATATATAATTTTTTTTTATCTTCTCAGATTTGTGAGAGAACATTAAAGAAAGGTTGGTCGGTAGTTCAAGACAGTCAGAGACGTATCGGACCATATGCTTATAAAGGGGATCAGTGGGTTAGCTTTGACGATGCGAAACAAATTAGGAAAAAAGCAGAATTAATAAAAAAACTTGGTCTTGGAGGAGGAATGATTTGGGCACTAGATTTAGACGATTTTAAGAACAGATGTGGTTGCGAACCTAGTCCTTTATTAAGGACAATGAACAGAGTTTTGAGAAATTATCCTGAAGGACCACTTTGTCCAATATCATCAGGTTTGTGCTTCTTCTTGTCTTTTTTTATTATAAAATACAATAATAATAATTTAGAGACGATATATTGTATTTCTTATTAATGCAGAAACCACTTCCATTGATATTGATGAAACGGAAAGCACTGGGTCGCCAACAACCGAATCTACATCTACATCTTGGCCTACCTATTTGCCACCTGCAACAACAACAACAACTACTACAGCTGCGTCAACAACATTAACTACTACTACTACTACAGAATCAATAATATCATCGGAAGAAAATGATACTGTTGAAATAATAGCTGGTCCGCCTCCAGCAGGTATCGCACCTTTAGGTGATTGTGGTGATAAATTGTTTATTCCACACAAAAATGACTGTGCTAAGTATTATCTCTGCAATTTCGGCAAACTTTCTGAACGTTCTTGCCCTAATGGACTTTACTGGAACGAAAATAGATGCGATTGGCCGGAAAATAGTAAATGTAAAAGGGAACTTAGACAACGTCAGGTACACATAAACTTATTCATTTCAAATCATATATAACATTACGAAATCATCATGTGATCAATCAATGTACATATTACATCAGATTTCAATTTCTAATAGTTACATAATCATCTCATGCACATTTCTTTTCCAGACAAGTGACGTATCTATGGCTTTATCCCTTAACGAGAACAACTCGAAGAAAATCGTTTGTTATATAACAAGTTGGGCTCAGAAAAGACAAAGTGAAGGAAGATTTATAACACAGGATTTAAGCTTAGATCTCTGCACACACGTCGTCTATGGTTTCGCGATATTAGACGAGGAAAGTTTAACGATAAAAATGCCGGACTCTTGGGACAAGGAAGATGAAAAGTTCTTGAGAGATATGATATTGTTGAACGCTCAATCTTCGAACCCTGTTAAGATATTGATTGCCTTGGGTGGCTGGAAAGATTCTTACGGGGACAAATATAGCAGAATGACGAGTGATTCGGCTAGTAGAATAAAGTTTGTCGATAGTATCATTAAATTTATTAATAAATATAAATTCGACGGTCTTGATCTCATTTGGGAATATCCAGTATGTTGGCAGGTAAATAAATAAATATGAATAATAATTCCTAAGTCAGATTGAACCAAAGAAAAAAAGTTATGAATGTATAAAATAAATTACAGATAAATTGTAACAATGGACCTAAAAGCGACAAGTTAGCCTACATCAATCTTCTTCGGGATCTTAGAACGGCATTGAAAATTCGTCGATTACTTTTCTCAATCGCAGTTTCATCAAGTAAAAAAGTAATCGATATTGCTTACCAAGTTCCAATACTTTCCGAATATGTTGATTGGATCGATGTTATGACTTATGATTATCATGGTTATTGGGAAGGGCAAACTGGTCATGTGGCACCATTATATCATTGTTCGGCTGACGAAGATCAATATATGAACGTAAAATCTAGCTTGAAATACTGGATTGAGAAGGGTGCACCTTCTGAAAAACTTATGTTAGGTATTCCAGCATACGGACAATCATTTACTTTGGCCGAAAACGCAATACCATTAACAGCAAAGAATTCCAATTTCGTTCCTTCGAAATCTTCTGGACCTGGAAAACCTGGAAAATTCTCGAAAGTTCCAGGATTTCTTTCTTATTACGAAGTAAGTATTAAATTGTACAAAATTGAATTTACATTGTAAGCTCATTTTTATTGAGATTCCTGAATAATGATCCATAGTATTGATAAGATAATACTTGCTATTAATCCTATAGGCAATATTAATATTGTAATATTAACATATTTTTGTCATAATATTGATTTGTAACAAATAACTTTGACGTCTTATAATACACACCTTTTTGTGATCGTAGATATGTGACAAGGTAAAAAATGCTAGATGGAACGTAACCAAAGACCCGCAACGTTGTTCTGGCTCATATGCAACAAAAGATGATCAGTGGGTCAGTTATGATGATGTATCAAATATATTTAAAAAGGTATAGCAACATAACGTATTTTTGTGAATGTTAATATTCATGTAAAAGTGCTGAAATATATTTTCTTGTCTTTTTTTAACAGGCTGATCTTATAAGAGAATTAAATCTTGGGGGTGGATCGATATGGTCACTTGACTTAGACGATTTTTCTGGTTATTGTGGTTGTGGAAAATATCCTCTATTGACAGCACTGAACCGTGGCCTTATTCAAGAAAAACTTCAAATGACGGATTGTACATAAAAGATTAGAAAGAATCTTGCGCATAGCAAACATTTCTACGATCAAATTGAAATTCATTGTTTGCTAAATATAACGTATGTAAAATACAACAGCAGTAGTAACCGTGATATAGAACATTATTCATCTTTCTTTGTCTTTTGTTTTTTCTTATTCAAATTGCACATTCGTAATGAGAAAAATATTCTATTATGAATTATAAGAAGTGAACAAATTGACAAACTTTTCCAAGCGACACATTTAAAAATTTTATTTTTTCCTTCATGAATTCATTCATTAATTCTCTTGTTCATTCGTTCGTCATATAATTAATTCATTAATTCATTCAATGTCCTTGTCTTTCAATTGCGTCGCTTGAGAAAACTTTGACATTAATAATAAAACAACAAAATTGCATGTAGCCTTCATAATATCTTCTTTCAAAAGGTATCAATGTATTTGTGATATACCGATATGTAAAGAGTAATTAGAATATTATGTGCTTCACTAATGCAACAATTTACAACCATTGTGTCATATTAGTTAAAATACGTGAGGTTTGTTCAATAATGTCTGAACAACAGCAAATATTCATCTATTTAGTATATACTTTTACTCGAATGAAAAATGTCAGAGTTCCTGCATGAATAAACGAAAGTAATAAATACTTTTGCATGTATACAATACAAATATTACCTATAATAAAAATATATACAAATATTGTTTTTTATTTACAATATTGTAAAGATTATATATTTAAAAAAATATATAAAATAGACAATATTAACAATATTGTAAACAATAAAAATTATTTGGATATTATGTTACATAGCGCATAAATATGTGCGTAATAAGCATTGTTGAAATAAGTTTAATGGTGACAATCATTGATATTATAATTCATAGAGTTTGTTGATATAACTTTCAATAGGCAGAAGAAGCACAGCTTAGCATCGTCGTTTGCCGTTTTTGTACTTTTGTCGTTGAAGGACGCGCACGCATTCACTCACGTTCCGTTCGGGTTAGTGCACGGCTAGATGTTTGTATGAAAGCAAGTTGTAAACGCATCGATTCTTGAAACTTTGATCTTGTCACCTTTCGTTTTCCTTTTAATGTAATTACTCGTATTACTAAAATATCATAACTTCTTCAACTCGATTGAAATGATGGACGAAAATCAAGGTAAGTTTAATCAATTATGATTTTATTTTTATTTATTTATTCTCTTTTTTTCACAAAATCAATGTGTTAAAAAATAATTAACTTCTAATCGTTTTTATTTCAATACTAATTTTTTTATTTTTATTATTGATGTAAAAGAAATTGATCAATTTTCTAATTATCATACGTACTTTCTTGTCGATTATAAAAATAACTTGAAAACAACGCTAATATGACATGTATGTAATATTAAAGATAGAATATTTTTTATGTAGTTATAAAATCTTTCTTTTTTGTTTTTCTTGTTTTACAATACTATAACATTTAGCTAATTAAATAATAAAATATTTAAATAAGACGTCTAGTGCATCGTTAAGATACGTTTAAAAATTCGCTTGATTAATTAGGCATAATTGCATCCATGTGTACATGTACACATATGTTTGTTGCTTTTTATTTATGTATATAAAAATTTATAATTTTGTAAATAAGTATTATAAAAATTGTGATCGTAAAAATAATTTTATTTTTATTTTATGCAGTTGAATAATTCGTTATAATATAAATTAATGAACACAACTGTGAATAAAGTAGTATAAAAATATGAAAGTGAAGGTTTAAAAGATGACAAATTTATAGAAAGAACGATAAATAGAATTAGTATGACATGTCGTATCCTGTTAAGATATCCTGTCTCGTCAAATACTTTCATGTATAATAAGATAAGATAAGATTTCACTGAAGATATTTCATTAGTTAACAGTAAGAAAAGCTTTAGTACGATTGATATTTGCGAACAGTTGATTGATTTATCGTGAAATTTATAGTTTAAAATACGTACGTATTTGTTTACCTACATAGATTGAAAATAATTAAAAATTTTAAGATCATTATCAGTTTGATATTCAGTTCAGTTTCTATAAACATATTTGAATAATGCGAAAATATGTGTACTCGACATCTATGTATGTACGTTTACGATATTTAAGAGACGAATGATCTAACCTTAAAACTACATAACACCTGTGCATTTCTACTAATTTAAAACAGTAGCGCCACGCTCGGTATTTCAAGGACATTAACTTTTTACATTCTTTATTACTTTATATGACCCGCCATTTATAATCTTTCATATTTTCTAAACATGCTACCAGGTAGCTCTTGAATTCTATAAATAATTATTATTATCGTTAATAAGAGAAATGATATTTTAAATACGGTTCATATATTATCTATTAAGTTTGATTTCTCAAGCAAAATTTAATTTATGATTTTATATAATCAATTATAGAATCAGATGTTTCCGCACTGTGCATAGATGTGTCGAAAGCCACTCCAGTTACCGGTCAATTAAACAAAACCGTAAGTTAAGTTGTCACACACACCACACGCACACATTATACTTATTATTGTGATTGTTATTATTTATAATATATAAGCATGCAATTTTTGTCTTGTTTTGTATTTTATGTGTTATTGTCAATTACGTCCGAGTAATACAGGTATTTCAATTAGATTTTATTTTTATTTGTATACAAAAACTTTGTTTATAATACAGCATTTTTATTTCTATTCTCTATTTTGTCCTTTTTTATCTACACATTTTCCATTAAAATTCTGCTTTATTTGACTACCCTAACATCTTGTAAACGATATACTTTATACGTTTAATTTCTATTTATAATAACAACTTTAATTTTTTGATGTACAATTGCATGAAAAATATTTGATGATAGTTCTACTACGTCATTTATTATTTTCTATAACCTATTACTTTGATAGATATTTAGATAAATATATAAACACCAACAAGTTTACTTTTATTTTGCATAATTCATTGCGACGTAATAGTTATCTTTTATTATTTTTCTTACTTTTCTTTCTTCGTAGGAGAATTCCATCGCTAATCTTTTGACCTTAATAGCAATATTGTTTTTTAAATGATGTTACCTTGAAAATTAACATATTCTTATATAATATATTCATTTTTCTCTTATTAAACTGCGAGAAATGTTACTGTAATATTTGATATGCATATCGTTGCCTTTCCTTATCTACTTTAAACCTTGACACTTAAGTATTAAAACAGTATTTTTATAGATCTATCGCTCTTTCTTGAAAACTTTAATTCATTTCATAGCAATCTAAAAATATCTAATTATTTATATTTATATTACAGGTTTTTTTTTATTTCACTTGTAAGAGAATTTTAAAAATAAAATGTATATAATCCTTAAAAACAGTTTTATCTGTTCTTATCCTCAAAGGATTATAATTATTAGTAATTTATATCTCAGACTCTGGATAAACGATATTAAAAAATTTTCTCTCTTACATAATGTAATAATTAATGAAAAAATGTGCAAAATTGAGAAACTTAAATCATTGGTAATGTGACTAACCCAAAGCATTCTTTATTTATGCCTTAATATTGTAAGAAATTGTTTGAAATGACTTGATTAAATTAATTAATGAAAGACGTTAATTTGCATATTATCTTGATGTTTATTTGTTATTACTAATTAAAAACAATTTGTAGTACATGAAGCCTGGTATGTCTCGTGTCGTTTTAATTTAATCTATTATTATTTGCTTTGATCTCTGGTAATTTAATCAATGAAATACTAATCGATTTAAATAATATTATTTAAATTATAATGATGATAATGCATGATTAATTGCACATCTGACTAGTTTCCAGGTATTTCTACGATGTGTGATATTTTTTAGTTTTGTTTCGTTCTCTACCATCCCTGGCTTATCCATTCTTTCTCACTGATTGGTCTTCAAAGGTGCAACATATTCTACGTATTGTTTGTGATGCTTATTTATTCCAACGGTATGGTTATTGGTTTTTCATATTATTATAGTTTTATAAGGAGAAGGGTCGGTGAAGATAGAACAGTGAAAATTTGATCTCTAAAGTATGTTGCATTATGTTGTCTATCAGAAATGGGCTATCGCAATTACTTGTATAATTCATCAATCATTTAACTGTTACTCCTTTATTTTCTATTGAAAATAAGTTTTAACTATTTTTCTCGATTTCAATTGTATTATAATTTTTTATAATCATTATAATAATATGAAAATTATTTGTATTTTGTAGATTACCAGATATATATGATAATTTTTATTTGTAATTGTTTCATTAATATCTATACATGTATGTATGTATGTCCTATGTGAAATTATAAAAGTAATTAATAACAAGTTTCAAACTAATTAGCAGTTATAAATGTAAAATATATGTATATAAATATACTTTTAATTATTAATTAGTTTTAAATCTAGTAATGTACATTTTAAAACGGTGTCATGCATTCATTGTAACCTCTTATTGGTTTTTCTTTATTAATGGGATTTATATTGCAGTTTCAGTTTACTTTCCTTTTTCTTTATATTTCTATGCATGATTCTTGTAAAAAATTTTTTATTAGATTTTATATTAGAATGGAAAATGTATTGTTTTTAATTGAGCTTAATTATTGCTTTTAGAAAGAAGAAAATGAAATTGATCCTAAATCAGGTAGATGGACTACTTTATTGGTCTTGGCAGGAGTTACGTGTTGTTTGGGTTCCGCACTACCCGCAGGATATAACTTAGGTGTATTAAACAATCCTGCAGATGTCAGTATTATAACAATTATTTAACTTGATAGACTGTTTATAATAAATTAGAATTATAATTAGAATTATAATTTGAATTATTATTGAAATCATAAGATATTAATCATTATTTTTGTATTCTAGTTAATCAGAAACTTTTGTAATCAAAGTATTATTGAAAGGTATGACATACAATTAACTCACAATGAAATAATGATACTATGGGCTACAATAGTATCAGTTTTTTTAATTGGCGGAGTGACCGGCTCATTGGTAGCAAGTTGGTTTGCGGATAAATTTGGAAGAAAAGGAGCATTAATGACTGGAAACATTTTTGGAATTTTGGGTGCTATCCTCTTCCTTCTTGTACCAGCATTAAATTCTGTTGAATTGTTACTTGCAGGTCGACTGATTGTTGGTAAGAATAATTTACACACAATGTATCTAAAAATATATTTAAAAGTCCATTAAATATATTTTATTACATCAGGTCTGTCGGGAGGATTAGCTACAAGTTTATTACCAATGTATATGACAGAAATAGCACCTCTTAAATTAAGAGGTGCTGTCGGAGTATTATGTCAATTAGGTATTACAAGCGGCGTATTTCTTGCACAAATTGTAGGACTTGATACAGTGTTGGGTACTGAAGAAAATTGGCATATCATGTTAGCAGCAGTTGCAATTTTATGTGCAATTGCTTTACTCATTACTTTCATACTGCCAGAAAGTCCCAAATATTTATACATTATTAAGGAACAACAAAGTAAAGCTCTTAAAGGTTAGCAATTTAACTTTTTTGTTAAAATTAACAAAAAATAAATCTCAATTATAAATTAATAACATAAAATTGTATTACAGAGTTAAGTCGTTTGCGTAATATGGATATAATGTTATTACAAAACGAAGTTGCTGGTTTACAACATGAATTCATGACCAGATCGTCTGCAGATACTTGGACGATAGGTCGTATATTTAGAGAACCTACTGTTAGATTACCTCTATTCCTAGTATGCTCTCTCCAATTTGGTCAGCAACTGACTGGTATAAGCGCAGTATTCTACTACTCAAATTCGATATTTAAGGATGCAGAGTTAGGAAATACTGGATCACAATATGCTACTCTTGGAACTGGGCTAGCTAATATCGCTATGGCTGTGATATCTGTTCCTGTTATGTCGTTATTCCATAGACGGATTGTTTTATTAAGTAGTTGTTATTTATGTATTGGATGCCTAATCATTTTATGTGCTTCCATAGTTTTAATTGTAAGTTTCTCGTAAAACTGTTTACACCTTTATAGAAAAAAAAAGAAAGTGGATTTCTAATGTCTTTTTGATTGTTACAGCATACAGTTTCATTTATGCCATGGGTGTGTATAGTGGCAGTAATTGCTTATGTCATTTTTTATGGTATTGGCCTTGGTCCAATTCCTTTTTTTATTGGGTCGGAATTGTTTGATGTTGGACCCAGACCTATTGCGATGTCTCTTGGAAGTGTTTGCAATTGGGGTGGTAATTTTTTAGTTGGAATGTTATTTCCAACGATGCTAGAATTAATAGGCCCTTACACCTTCCTAATCTTTACAGCATGTATTTTACTTCTAGCACTATTTGTCGGGTACAGTAATAACATTTTATCATTTACAATATCATTGCTCTAACAAAAGTAAATATTTCTTTTATTTTAATTAAATTTGTTTCAATTATTTTTAGTTTTTATTTGCCAGAAACACGTGGTAGAAGCACTATGGAAGTAGCAGCATCTATTACTCAAGGATTGCGATCAAGACCAAATGCAAAGTTTGTGACTTAAATAATACATTTCTAAGGTATTTGAAAGTGATGATTAATAAAAAAAGAACTTATTTATGGTATAAAAACTTTATTCCGTAGTCAATAACATTTCGGAAAAAATTGAATATTATAAAAAGTAAGCATAAAAGCAGCAACAGTTGCAGGATTGTAATTTGCTTAATGTTTTACATCATTTTTGAAAGGAACATTATTTTATACGCTAACTGTATAATTTTTTGACGAAGAAATGAATTTATTTTAACTATTATATATATTTACATAAACAAATATACACAATCTACATTTCCATTACATAGAATGCAATTGATTATTTATATATATAAAGATTAATACGTTTTATGTTCTTACATCATCGTATAATTGATCTAATTTTTTATAGAATACTAAACATAAAACTGTGTGCGGTGCTATTCTCATCCACGTTGGGAAAGTTCCTTTGTATAAGCCATATAAACCTTCTGTTCGCCAAATTTTAACTAAAGCGTCAAAGAGCCCATTATAGAGAGTACCTTTACCATCTTTCGTTGCTTCTGTATACATACAGTAATATTCAAGAATGATCAACCATCATTATAATAGAATGAAAAGGCATACATGAGCACTTACTTTGATTATATAACCTTGTGGCCAATACATCAAAAGGTTGCATAGTAACGGCTACACACGATCCACCGATTAACGAGGAAACGAATGTTGAAGTTATAGGATAGTCTGTAAGTATCTGAACAAATGAAACAAAAGTTGTATTTGAGACAAATTTATCACATGATCGTCTACTTACATTCAAAGATTCTAACCAATCCGAAACCAAACCGAACGTAGTCAATTGCGTAGACGATCCAACAAATAATCTTGGTATATTGGCATACCAGCCACGATATACCGCAGCGATACCACCTTGTTTCCAAAGTTTTTTAAATGCTGACCACGTTCCAGTATGATTGTGTTGATGACCAACAGCAATAGATTGCGCAGATTGAGCTTGTATTTGTGTCTTGACCTAATATCCAGATTTTGATTGATTAAAATAAATTCGTCTCAAACGTATCTATGAACAACAACTTAGTGTTATGATGAAGTCGTATGAGAATAAAAAGAAGAAGATTTCAATTGGAAGCAATCATGATCGCTAAATGATTAGTTCTTATTATTGGTCATCAACTAACTTTAGTATGATAAGCGTAGAAATATAGGAGCTGAATTTTGCACATATTTCCAATTATATTACCAAATAGAATGGGCTACCGAGAACACCCCCTAAGCAACCAGCCAATCCTGTGATGAGCACAGTTTTCAGGATATCCGTATTTCCTTTACTGTCTTGTATGAAACCATACTTTTTAGCACTGTTATATACACCTAATCGTATACCGTTGAGAACGACCTGAAAATATAATGCTGATGCAATACCAGATTGTAAAGCAAATATTCCTTCGTGTTTGGCTATCAAATAAGCAGCGTGAAATGTATTTTTGTATATCTTTCTGTAAGCTCCTCTAGCTTCGAGTTCTCCTTGGAGTTGCAATCGTATTTTAATAACGTCTGCTGGATTAGTAAATAGTCCAGCGCCTGCAGCCGCTACCGCTCCTATCACAAATTCCGCTCCAAGTCTAGAAAAAGAAACGTAATAAATTAACTAAAACTTAAATTATTATTCGTAAAAAAGAAAAAATGGTAAAAAGACGAATAAATTAAATTCAAACGATCGAGAACGAGCGCATTTGAACGTGACCAATGAAACACTAACTATTTTTCGCGTACTCTTCATCGATTGGTCGACATACAAATTCGATACTAAATCGAGTAAACGATAATAATATCGAATTGTAAACGAAATTACACTTTATTATTGCATAACACCGGCGTAAGTTTTCGAATGAATAAGACACGCGAGTTTTAATACTACTTTTGATTATGAAACCTACTAAACGCGAAAAAATGATATGTTTTTAAAATCGCTTACGGTTTTTCTTTTTCTATAATCGATACAGTGAGATTTTCGGCGGTAGCCATGTTGAAAAATATAAATCAAGTTCACTGGGACACGAAATTGAAGACGCGAGCTTATCTGTGTCAAGATATGTGTAACACCAAACGCACACGTTCAAAATGGAAACTAATACGGAGAGTGACTAAAAGAAAAAATATTTAGATGACGAACTGTGTGAAACAAATTCTATGTGTTATACCTATTTATTACTTCAGTCACTGAACCTCATCGCGCAGCGTTTCATCATCTTTACGTCATTCTTTTACTAGATATTGATATTTATTTACATTAGACAATCACTTTAGGAAATAAATTTATTAGTCCTTTATCTGTAAGCATATTTTCTTATCTTTAATATTTTATATCACCTAACAGTCGTTTCGTTTTTATTATTCTTTTATAAATGTTTTCTTAAATTTTTTTTTAGAAATTTTCATATTAACAAACATATTTTTTTATTTATATCTATCGATTAATTATACAAATAAGCTTAAGTTGACTAATTGAGTTATTTAGAATTTGGAAGGTCTTACAATTTCATAATCATAGGACATATATATGTTCAGTGCTATGCAATTATAAATTTTAATTCATTTGATATCTATCTAATCTGAAGATATCGTTTAACTGTTTGAATACTAACGGTTAATCTTACTTCACTTTTGTTTAACTTAAGAATCTGACGAAATTTTTTCTTACGTTTGAGTAATTGTTATCTATTTTTATTTTTATAAGTTAATATATTTTATATTAACATTTTTATGTACATGTTTTTATAATTAAAAAGAAAACATATGCTATAAATTTATCGTATGTACTTCATTGAAATATCGAAAAAAGTCGATCGAAGCATAAAAACAAACATAATTGGTTAAAAAGAAAAAATGTAAAAGTAAAGAATTTAAATATTTTTCTCGAAAATATATATTGGTCTTCATGCTTTCATGGGAATAATTTTACAAAATATACACGTGGTCTCAAAACCATTTTAATATCGATCGTAACATTTTCCTTTCTTTTTTCGAACAAAAATTATCATTTCGTAATAATCAAAAATTTTAATGTAACGAAAATTGATCGTTTGATTAATAAATCGATCGTTAATTGATCAGCGAAACTCGATGACGTGTGATATCGTTTCATTCTTACGATAAATAAAATTTGAAAAATAGAAATTTTATTTCTCTTCTTCTTCTTTTTCTTCTTCTACGATTGATTATCTGTATTTTTTATTTTTTGGTCATCTTTTATTAAGAATATTTTACGATATGCTATATATATTCATACTGATTACAACTTTGATATATAATACGAATAATGTGCGACAAAATTACACTTAATAAGATTAAAACGATACGAAAGCTCGTTTAATACTAAACTAATCACATTTGCAAATCTAAAATAAAATAAAAAAAAAAGAAATAAAATAAAAATGACGAACCGATTGTCACGATTGTTGTTCAGCGTTGACATGAATATAATATTACGTATGTGCAATTGCATGTATTATCCGCTTATACTGTATTTTACATCCTTTCAAACAGTTTTATATTGTCTTTAATTTTTAAACACACTTTTCTGTGCAATATATGAATACTTCAACGAAAAAAATAATGTAGTTTGAAAGGGTGAATTAAAATATACATAAATTTGTCGAGACACAACGCAAATATACGATTTACAGTAAAGTAATAAAATATTCGTGAAAAACGTGGGTTTGTATTGACGAGGAAATCAAGATTTTATGCATTTTTTAAAATAATATAAATTAAAATATACTCGTGCATTTTTAACGTGACGACGAAAACAGAAATTAAATTCACAATATTGTTTACGTTATTTTCTTTGGTCTCGTGTCGAACGTCTAGAAATTTTCTTATATAAATCTAAGAAAATTGAATGCGCGTCTTAGAATAGAAACGCTGCATTTGTTGCTATGTATATCTACATATATTTATATATATGTGCATATATGTATGTATATACGTATAAGTAAAATAAAATTTCGGCATTGGAAGTTTACAATACCCGTAAAATACATAGCTCGTGCTATGTACAAGTATTTCGCTATTTAAATTTAATGATAAAAACTTACATGTTTGTTAATATTCAGTCGTGTAACTTCATTGTTTCATTACCCTTTTACATTTTTATTTAAGTATATATTTATATATGTAAAACGAGATTACGTAAAAATACTTTTTAATTTATCACGATTCGTGCATATGTTTGTATTAAAATATAACAATAAGGTTGGGCGGAAGAGGGGATGTTATCGCTTAACGTTTAAAATACTAAACATCTTCTTCGATTTCGAATGCGATAAAATTGGGGTTGAAATAGAAAAACAGAAAGATTTTATTATATCAAAATAAAAAATTATTTTTAATTTCAATTCTTGCAAGAATTAAAAGAATTGTGTTTTTTGCTATCTTCCATAGAAAAGAAAAAAGATGTTTGTTGTAAAAACGTTAGGATAAATCATCCCTTTACGTATATTAATTATATGCAACGAATTTACCTAAAACGTTGTTCCACGATCATCATGTGTTTCAACACATTTTATATATATACAACAGACCTGCCCAATCATAAATTTAAGGAATCACCTTACTCTTATCCCATTTGTATTCGATCTTTACATATCACACCAATATTTTCTTTTCTTTTATTCACTCTAAACATCTTTCTAAGTACTTTCGCAGAATATCACGTGACTTATAATAATTATCATTTAAAGGAATGCTAATTATATATGTATAAGAAAGAGAGGCATACTCTGTTAATCATCGACGTTCTCTGCGCGCATAAACTGAAACAAAAAGGAATTCAATCGTTGTACGCGTTAGGGAAACGCGCGACGATTTAAAACGTTCTTTTAAAACTCATCATCATCAAAATATTTGTTGATAAATAAATTTAAATCCTATTTTAAAACAGCAATTCACCTAAGAATATAGTTGAGTGATTTATTCGAATAATTAGAATACTCGTATCTTGGCAAGATACGATTTCGAATTCTTTGAATAATTTTAACCATTATTGCTATGCTTATTACCAAAGAATATTCATTATTATACTAATCATCATAATCGATGGATATTCATTAAAATTATATTATGTTAACAACGCAATGAATAATTGAAAGAATGTTAATCGTATATATTAGATGTTGTAATTAATTCGGTGCCCTGATATTAAATTCATTGCATCAAAATCGCTAACTTTTTTCGTCAAAGAATTCAGCAGTTGCTTGAAAAATGGACCAGAGTCATCGAAAATAATGGAGACTATTTCGAAGAATAACAAATGTATGATTTTTATAAATAAATACTAAATTTGTTAAAAAGGCACAGAATTAAATGCTACATCTAATATATTATAATATACATATTATATACATATTACAAATATATAATTATAATATATTGATAAAAAAAAATCATTAAACTAAAATCGTGCGTAGAAATTTGGTAGGAACTCCTCCTCGCATAAAATATATTTATTCGACAAGTTTAATAAGCTCACGAAAAATAGCTAATGAACGATTAAATGTCGGAAGTCTTGATATAATATTATCGACTGAGCAGACCTGCTTGTGTAGATTTCGCATAAATTGTATATATATGTTTATGAATTTATGAATGAATAAGTATGTGAGTATATATTATATATATATATATAATGCGCACGTCTGTAACATAGATGTATTATGAAGAATATAGTCATCGATTACCGTTAGGTACATTTGCCGAAATTGTTTGATGTAGATCGTCCGAAGATAAAAATTAATAGAAAAGAAATGAGTCTGTTTGTTGAGGGCGTTAATGTCATCATCATCATCGTCAATGATGGGCAGCCAGCTGCCAATATACAATGTGTCGCTTAAACGCCTCTATCTATTTCTTTTTTTTCTCTTTCATTTTGTCTTTTATTCTGAGTCTGTCTGTTTATCATTAACGATCGTAGAGCAGTTAGGATTGCGTGCTGCACTATAAAATGGTCGTTATCACGTGCGTAGAACTTTTCCTTTTCTTCTGAATCGTTCTTCCAAATATCCTGGGATCTGAAAATAGTTTTACATCGGGGATTACAGGGCGTTATCTCGGTCGGGGTTATACATAAGATCAATGGAACATCGTTTAAGTATGTATGTCTATATGGTTCCAAATAAATAATTTTCTTCTAATAGGAAAAATAGCCTAAGTTATCACTTTATTATCAATTACTTTATCGTAAATTAATCCTAAACTTTAGAGTACTTAGATAGAATAAACTAGATTAAAACAAGACTAGTGATAATGAAGATCATAGATAATAGAATCGTTAAAAAAATATTTTCTGATGCAATAAATATTAAAACAAAAAAAAAGACGCGAACTCTTCGATAGCATCGTTGACATCGTCGTTGAAAGTTGAGCTACATGCATCGTGCAAATTATAAAAAAACAAAAATCAAGAAAATCTATAAACAAATCGGTGACACATCATTATCATTTCGTATTGAGCGAGCGTCACTTTTCAAGCTTTTCTTAGCCATTCTGTATTCGAAGCAAAGCGCTCTATGTGGCATTTATTTAAAGTATAGAAACGTTAATATCGTGACATCGAGTCATTAGAGATATCAACGTTCTGGAAGAAGTTTCTACGCTTTTTCTTGCAATAAATGATGCTCGATAATCTTAAAAAATGTAATGCTATTTGATTATGTCATTTGCGGATAAATATAACGCTAGAAAAGAGAAAGTATGAAACTGCACCGAATACTTCGATATACGTAAGTGTACGTTTTTAATGATGAATACAATATCATAGGGGAGGTGGGGTCGGAAGGTTGGAGTTTAATTAAATTTGTTGGATGATGAGGGTTTAAGAGAAGGGGTGCAAAGGGGTCATCACATACTGCTTATTTGATAAAACAATCATTATCTTTGGATATATTTTACATTAGTGTAGAGTACAATCATAAGAAGTATATATGTACGATCACAATAAAACGCTTAAGCCCTAAAAAGTACACCATTTAAATCGAATAAAATGCATGCGACGAGAAAGAGTTTAGTTTATAAAAAATAAAAAAAGCCATTCGAATATCAGAAAGGATATCGGGCTTGAAGGATTTAAAAAACAAAAATATAGAAAAAGAGAAAAATAAACAAAAAAGGGTTCGGGGGGAGGGGCATGGACGATCTCCAGCGTAGGGTTTCCAATCAGAAACAAATAAACCGTTCTGTATCGCTACCGCTAAACAGTCAGGTAGGCAGTCTGGGAATATTAAAACATAAGCAATGTAAAAAAGATTTATATATGTATACTAAATGTTGTTTTTATTGGTGCAGTATCAAAAAAGATAGAAAAAAAACACGTAGGAAAAAAGAAAATATAGCGAGCAAATATTATAAGGTTTCGTAAGTAACTTATTGTTAGAATTGTATCGTTTTGTCGATTACTAAGATCAAAGCATCTGACGCTTCTTTCACTTTCTCTCTAATTTTTTCTCTCTCACACACATATACACACACCCACGCAAACAAAACATTCGTTACAATTGTATGATCGGGTCTACCTTTGGTTTTGGCCGATGAGTATCCACTGCATCGATTGGAAGTCGTATGTGTTCCACTTTACAACCATATGCAACGGGTGTTAATTTAATGATGGTATGCAATGGTACCTGAAGATACGGTAGTTCCTCTGTAATCAATGGAACAACACCCATTACCCCTTCGATTTTTGAAAAAGAAAAAAAAAGAAATTTTTTAATATGAACATTTGTAAAATGCATTGCAAAAATAAGTATTTATATAACGGCGCAAGAGATACGATTGTAAATCACTTTTAACGAGTCGTAGTAAAATTACATAAACCAGATTATCCATTGATTTATTTTATTTTGTCGTATCGCTCGAATGTATTATACTTGTCAAGGATCGGAGGTCAAACAAGTTATTAAAAAAAAAAAAAAAAAAAGAAGCAGACATTATTTCGTTAAACAAGTATTACGCAATCCAATTGCGCATTTGCGAATATAACAAGCAAATGAAAATAGTTAAAATTGCTTAGCTAACAATTTTTATTATTACACATAATGAGCGTTAATTGATCTTCCAAAAGCGTTAAAAGACTGCAAGTGCAATAAAGAAAAAAATCGAGTGAAAATAAGAAAAAAAAACAAATAAAAAAAAGTTTTTTTTAAATAAAGAAAATCGTACCTGCACTCTTGTCCAAGAAATAAGCTAGGAGACAACGTAGCACCGCTTGATGACTGACGACTAAAACATTACCCTGCCTTTCCAATTCCATTATAACGGGCTCCAACCGTGCTACCAAATCCTCATAGCTCTCACCTCGTGGATAACGATAGGAGAATTTATTTTGATCCCTTGCAGCAAAGTCCGTTGGATATTTATCGGCTATCTCCTCGTAGGTCATCTCTTCGCAAATTCCCTGATTAAGTTGATTAGGTGGTAGGTTGGTAGAGAAAGAGAGATAGTGAACAGGTATAGAAAACAAAAAAAGAAAAAAGGAATGATAAGCAAATGGCACAAATTTCAACAACTATTTTCTTCAGATAACATTATTATTAAAAGTAATAATAATAGCGAAGAAAAAGTTGGATAGAATAATACGGAATCGTCTGAACGATACCAAATGATTATACGTCCTGAACATACGGCATCAATCTCATTGAGAGCTTTCCATCTTTCCTGCGGTGCTTGCACGTCTGCTACCGTCTGAATAGTCCTTTTCAACCAGCTCGTCCATACTCTAAGACCCTGTATACAAAAGTTTATAGCATCGCATATGAGATGAGGAATCCTTCTTAGGATTTAAAGTTAGAAAAGGAAATGTCACGGATACGAGTTGACTTTGACTTTCGATAGTCCCCCTCCCACCCTTCGATCTGCTGCTAGATTAATATTATTATAATTATTTTTCTGTGAGTAACACATATACGAGTAAGAAACTTTTCTTTAGATATACTTTCTCTTATTCCTCGCGAAAAATAATATTATTCGAATTTTTAACTAATCTACACCCACCAACTTGTAATTGTATTTGAGATCCAATAAAAAAAAATAGAAAAAAATAAAATAAAAAAAAATAAAAAAACAATTCTTTAAACGTGGGTATGGCAATTCGATCGAAGTGTCGCTCAGAGTGACTTTAAAAAGACATGATGAGTTGAATGTTGGAATAACATAGACCTGAATATCCTGACTGGTAATGTAGGTAGCTAATGCCCTGGCGTACTCCCGACCTCTTTCACTAAGATCCGAGTCACCTCCTATTCTACCTTCCAGATTCATCATACTCTCGCCATGCCTGGTTAGATATATCGTACGTGGTACAATGTGTATATTCATCAAATAGTAGACGATTCTGCTCTGTATGTGCCCCTCGTGTTTATGAACTATTACTTTTTCCCCGGTGTTATAGATTTTCATGAAAGACAGATCGTTCTCGTAATCTTCGTCCAATGGCTGATATCTTTCCCTATAGTGTTCGATCCGCAATATAAAGTCGGCCAATACTTCTTCCTTATTCATATTAGCATAATCCGGGCTGCTAACTTTGACCTAATGAACATGATTACATAATATACTGACTGAGAGAGATAGGAAATAGAAAAGAATTGTAATAGATTAGAGAAAATGTTGTTTGTAAATTAGGTGAAAGAGTTATATCTTATCCTTGATGCTTTTTTATTACTATAATACTATCGTTTATGATACTTATATTGTTTTTTGTTCTTTCACGTTCAAACGAAAGGCAATTTATCGACCGCTAGAGTGATGATATCATCTACGTATTGTATTAGTAATTCAATACGGTTATATATTGTAAATTAATTGGAAAGAGAACAATTGTGTATTTCCTTTACCTCCATGATATTTTGCTCGACTATTTCAGGGTCGTTGCAAACGGATTCGACGAAAAATAATTTGTAATCCATTTTTGCGACAACGATGTCGTGGATCATTCTACGCCGATCCACGGTAGAATTGGTGGCATCGAAAACAGCAACCTCGCCATCACCGCTCTCCAGCCAACGACAAACGTCGTTCAATGCGTCCACAGCACATTGAGTCCGTATTGCCATAGCTTTGATATTATCCGCACGGAAAAATTCGTGACATTGATAGGCAGTAGTGGCATGCCTTCTATACTCCCCAAGATTGAAGACTTTCGTGCTTATTCCAATCCAATTGAGATACCTGCAGAGCTTCTTTGAAATGTAGGTCTTGCCACGAGCTGGCAAACCTACCATAGCTATTACATGGGGTTTGTTTACAAAATTAGCTCGTTCCCCTAGAAAAAGAAAGATAAAACGAAGAAAATAAATGGAATTTTTCGATTTCAATTATAATTGTACTTTTATGATCATCTTTATGATATAAATGTTAATCTTGAGTCATTTAGAAAAAGAAACAAAAATTTATATATTTTATACAAAAATCAATTTATTCTTTTTTATCTTTTTACGACACGTTGTGTGTGTATTGTGTGTGTGTGTAAGTTCGTGAGTCAACAAAACGAGAGATATAAATTTTCCGAAGCTTATTGCGGTCAAGCGAGAAGTCAATGTTATCATATTTAACGTATGCGGCTCATTGCATCCCGAGCTACGCTAATATAATTTATTGTTTGAGGTCTGTTCATATTGCGAAGAGATTGCAAAATATTTGTGTATATATATTTAGTTGAATAGAGACATTTTTTATTTTGTTTTTATTATTTGTTTTTTTCTCTGCTATGAAATGCAGACGATCTTGTATCATGAGTTTATCTCATATTACTTGTGTCCAGAAAATTATGAAGGAAATATCTCCTTTAGAAATCTGTTAGCATAATTTGTTTTTATAAGTTATCGCGGTACTTGTCACAATCTACAAGGCAAATGTTTGGGAAGATATCGTCGACAAATTTACGAGCAGTACTGTATTTTACAGTAATATTAACATTTATGTAACGAAGAGACTTGCAAATTGGATTCCTAGAATAACAAACGATTATTTATTTCCCATTTTGTTACAATATGATAACAGCTGATTAACACGTTGACTGCCGCGCGCTTTTCACATGATTTGTCTGCCACGCCTACATGAATTTTCTATTATGAAATGCATATTTTGTTGAAATTTTGTTTACAACTAATAAACGACGTTGTATAATTGTGTTTTGTCTATTTTTTATGGTGAAGTCACCGGTGACCGTTGAGGCGCTGTGGGCCATTTTATAATTATTAGCTCCTAAATACGGAAAAGATTGAGGAATTTATAGCAACGAATAATTTCTGACCGTGACGATTGATTTTATTTGCAGAAGACCTATACAAAGACCAATGAGATCGAGTTCCACAAAAAATATATTATATTTACTCGGTTTATAATAGTCACAAACCCCTTCGAAGAACCTCCAACGGATTGTTTAGTATTTTCTTAAAATTTTTCTATTTAATATTTTCTTCGAAATTTTATCTCTGTTTGCAAGAATCTGAAATTAGATAGTTTTCAACAAGTACTTACGTTGTAAATTCAATTATGTTATAGAAACAAGTAACTCGGAAAAATATTTCCATTCCCGATTTTAAGATGAAGTTAGAAAAGTATTTAGTACAATGTTCTGATGTTGAAGATTGCATTTTATCAAGCAATTACGTACAGAAAAGACGTAATCACGAATTAAAAAAAGAATCGGGAAGTGCTGATTGTTTTTGATTACATTTTCTTTGTCTACCGTGTCTAATCGTAACTCATCGAAGTGTACCCAAATAAAATGTACATTTTCTTTGTAAAAAAAAAAATTATTTTTGCATGCTCTGTATGTCATAAATTTCTTCACAAACACCTATAAAAACAATGATATTATTTAAAAATTTATCATAATCGATATTTATTTTAATTATGTATTTTTATTAACGATTGTTTTGAGGTCACCGGTGACCTACACGACAGTCAACGTGTTAAAGTAGCGTATAATGTCTTAAAGATATTTAACCAAATGTATTTTGTGTGTGTGTTTCAAAGGAAAAATAATTTCTATTTAATTATCGGCTGAGAAAGAGAGAGATTAGATAAAGCAAAAAATGTAAATTATTGAGAGACTACAATATCGAAAATTCTTATAGATAATAATAATCATTTGAAAGTAATCTTTCATTCTAATGAACAATGATAATATGTATATCACAATATCAATAATTAACAAATACCGTATATCTACCTAATGATCATGATAAATAAATTGATAAACTAATATTGATAGAATTAAATATCTTATTGTTGACGTAATATATATATATCAGATATATTTAAAAAATATTTAAGATAGAGATCGAGATCGAGAAAAACGTGATGCATACGTTTATAAAATACTAATAGTACATATAAAAAACCATGCATTTTTTTACAAATAATTTAATATTTCTAATTTTTAAAAACGTAAAAGAATACTGCATTTTGACAAGAACGTTGTTCGACAATATTTGTAAATCGTTCGTCAAAATTCACCAATTTCCGGCTTTCTTCTAAAACAAGAAATTCGAAAAGTATATATACGTAATAAGTAAATACTTCAAACATTTAAACGATAAATCAAAATAAAATTAGTTGAAATAAGATGAATTTACGAGCAAGGATAGAATAGAAAGAAAATATAAAACATAATTTGCTGGTCGAAATGACGACGAGCACGTGGCGCGAAAGCGTGTCTATTTTAAACGCAACTTCTTTGCTTCTCGTCTCGTAGCTTTAATAAACGAAATGAGAGAGACGAATTCGATCGAATTTTCGTAGATCGTGCCAACGATTCTTATTTGATCCCCCCTCTAACCCGATCGTCTCTTGTTCCTTCACTATCCTTTATTTTTCATCTCTATCTCTATCTCTCTCGCCCTCATACTTCCTGTTTTTCTCTCCATCTTGCTCACTCTTTCTCTCTGGCCACCACGCTTCAATACTTGTATTATTCTTTCTACGACACTATTTACGTATATATTCAAGTATACGTTCATCATACACGATTTATGTATACAACAATCGTAAGTATTATTTCATTCTATCCTTGCTTATTTGCGTCTTAAAAGTCTCGTTATTTCATTTTAACGATAATCTTGTTAAATGTGCGCGCTCCCTTAACGCGTATATCGATTTTATTTTCTTACCAAAAAGAATCGAATGAAATCAAAATAAATAATAAATTATAAACGAAAATACAAAGAGAATAGGGGGAGAGACAAGAAAAAGCGCGTGAATATGAACGAACGTGTATATACGTTTTGCAGGTTATGTTTCCCGTGGAAGAGGTAAGATTGAACTGTCAAAGCAAAAAAGGAAGTTAGGAAAAAGTGGATAAAGAAAAAAATCTTCCGAAGGAAGAGAAAGATAGGTAAGAGTATGAGAAAAAGAGCAGATCGAGAAAACACGTTTTTGCGTGATTGATTGAAAAAAGAAATATTGTTTTGTAAGGCAGATATTTTGTAATTAAGAGAGAAAGATTTCTTTGTAAATAAGAACTAATAATAAAAAAGCGGCATACCTCGAATTGGAAAAGGTTTCGTTTGTATCGTGTCCGACGTTGGTGGTGTATAGTGCATCTCAATTTTCGGATCGGTCATATTAGAATTCCAAAATTTTCTACCTCACAAAACGTAAACGTTTTTCGAACGAAGAAACCGTACTCCTACTGAATTCGTCCGTCCGGTTGCGCGGTACAAAACGGTGTTGAATAGAAACTGAAACACGGGTAGAGAGATGAGCAATGAAAGTAAGTGAGGGAGAGAGGGTAACTAGTGAGAGAATGAGTGTGGAGGGGAGAGAAAAAGTTCAGGATTGAAGAACTGTCACACCAACTACTGATTACCATATTATCAATCATTTTTGTACTGTATTCCATTTCGATTTAACGTATACTTTTCCGTGTTTTTCCGAAGTATCGAAGTATCATTTTATTACACGCACCATCTTCCTTATTTTCTTATCAAGTGACTTTGACTCAAAAATATCCGATTGTTCGAAATCTTGATCGTTTTCCTTACCGACCAATCAATGCAACAAATATGTATGGAAGATGTGCATATCTAATGCAAAATTAAATATAATAAATTCATAATGTGGAGTGTACTTTGTTCGGAACGAAACAAAAAAAATAGTTGTGCAACTATTATTGATTAGTAATTGCTAACAGGTTATATACTTGTTTTTTCTGTTTAACATATTTATTTAGAATGAATCATTTTATAAACAGTTTTACAAGAACATACATATATTATATTAAATATTATTTCTCATTGTAAACATCAATATTGTAAACATTAAATTAGTTATATTAAATTAGTTATACAAAAATATTGTATCTTATGTATATATTATATGTATATATATATCCCATGTATATATGTATCCCCGAACGTTTTAATTAGTTGTATTTTTCCAAAAAAGGATCGATAGGTTTGATTAATAATTGTGGATCATTTAAATGAATATGATGTGTACTTGGTATAAAATGATATTGACAATCAATAGAACTTTCTTTCAAAATATTTAGTATATCATAATAGGCTTGCATATCTTCTGAAAACACTGTGAAGTCAGATTTAATAACTAAATATGGACATATAATGTATCTAGCCATATCTTTTAATTGATCGTGTGACATACCACTGTAAGATGGAAGAATTCTTAATCTAGGATCTCTATTTAAATATACTGTTCCATCAGGCTTTTCTGTTACTCCTCTAGTCATTAATATTTTACAGGAATCTTCGGTTACTGATCTCAAACTGTCTTTAATCCACTTTTTTATAAGTTCTTCTTTTTTATAACTACGCGGTTCATTTTCCATTTCTTCTATCTTACAAATTTGTGTGAAGGCTTCTGCTAAACGAGCATTATATCGTTCAATAGTTATAGAAAGAGGTTTTAAATGATCGATAGCTATCACATAAGCTACATCTTTTGGATATATTGAAGCATACCAAAAGCAATAGTGAGTACTTAAAGAATGCGTTAACAATTTTACTTTCTCCCAAGCAAAATATCTTTTCAATCTATGTATTAACAATACATAATTGTACTCAAAGTACATTTGACCCGGAGGTAACCAAGAGGATAAACCATGACCAGGCAAATCAATGGCTAGTATTGGTCCATGTTTTTGAAGCAATGGTGCTAGATTATCAAATGAAGCAGCATTATCTTGCCATCCGTGAAGAGCCAAAATAGGTTGCTTATACTTATCAATTCCCCATAGTCTTCCTTTTAATAAAAAAAAAAGAAAAATATATATATGCATATATATAAGGTGGATTATATAAATAGAACACCTAATATCTTCTTTATTTAAAATCGTATTTAAAAACTTCAAAGGTAAAAGTTGCACTATAGCAGGGGGGAATCTAATAGTCGAAAAAATTTTTTCTTAAGGTTATTTTTTTGCGAGATTTGAAAGTTAACTTTAGTTATTTAAATGGAACTATATATATTATTTGCGACATTCTTATAGAACATGAAATAATAAATAAAAATGATCTTTGTGACTATATATATATATATATTTCTGTCACGTGTGTAAGCTACTTACCAGCTATTTTACCCCAGGGTACTAGTATTTCAACGTTACTAACATTCTCATTTACAACTTCCACTTTACTATAGATAGTTCTTTTTAATAAAGAACACAGGTTATTTGTATTATTTTTATAAATTTTATAAAATGTAAATGTTGTTTTCCAGCAACCAAAAATTCGACAATCCATCTGAAAGAAAAATTATATCAATTTGTGAAGATTACAGCCAATAAAAACGATTTTATCTCTTATTTATCTTCCATTTTAATTTTAACTTTTTAAAAAATACGCGATTTTTTTAGCTATTTCAGTATGACGAAACGTTTCTAATAAGCACTTTATACATTTATGAAAATATTATTATTTTTACTTTAGAGAGAAAAAAACAAAAAAACGATATCAAAATTATTTATAAAAAGTTATGCTTCGAAATATCATAACTCGCAGATTTCACATTCGTATGAGTTTTATGTTCTTATCACTAGATGCTGAATAACTGAATTGAGATTTTAATTTTGTAATATTAGAAAAAAAAACTATTTTTTGAACTACTCGTTCAAAATAATAAAGATTTACTTATTTACGTACGTTTTTATACATTTCAAAAGAAATTGTAGAATTGTACTGCGTACAAAATAAAATATACATACTTTTAAATAACTACTAGTTTTTTGAATTGCTAAATACATGATAATATTATCTTTTAGTTTGGTTATGTGGTTATTTAATAAAATAAATGAGGACAATATGCAAATATGAAAATACTTATCATTATAAAAGTTATTTCTTTTTATTCGAGTAAATAGAATCTAATATTAAAGTTTTTTATCTTTGATTTTACTTGTAGAAAGTAAAATATTATTTTTTATATTTATTATCATATTATTAATTCATCAAAATATTTAACAATCAGAAACCATTTATTCAACTCGTTTTTTGATCATTTAAATACAGATGATAAAATATAAAGAGATTTTCAATAGAAGGGATAAATCTTTACTAATTAAATTATTTGTATTAGATCATAGGTCTTCCTAGTAACTATTAAAAAATCTGGAAAATATCGTTTTTTTCTTTTTCTCTTTCTTTTTTTTTAATTTTAATTTTCTATCTAAAATAAATATAACAATTATCAAGATATTTTTAATAGAGTGAAATTTAATTATTAGTTAATGAAATATTTATACACATTGTAATTACATATATGCAGTTTTGTAATGTTTTGATTGATTTTAAGGAATAAATGAAATTGCAATTTTGCCGCAGTAGCGCCATCGCGTGTTTCATTCTAGAACTACAATTGTTAAGTCGCAAAGAAAACTACATTTTCTGATTGAGTTTTCCAGCGATATTGAGTTATTTCTTTCTATGTGGTATATCTTAGTCTAATAGTACTAGCTTTGCAGTCTATGCTTATTAAATCCGTAATAGAATTCCATTTTGGCATGTTTGACATACGATCAACTGTCAAATCTTAAGAACTGCGTGGTGTCTTATAAAAATAATAATATGGAAGCAGTACCAAGATTGCCGATGATTTCTTTCTATTTAAAAGTAAGCCCGGAACCAACTACATTCGGACCGAAGTTAAAACAGGTAGAATTTATTTATTATTTAAACAATACAACGGTTCTAGGTGTTTCTATCTTAATAGTCATTTATAACATTTTCGTTGATAACTTATTCAAAATTGTTATAATCATTATTATTGTTCAATACAGATGATATGTTCTAAAATGTATATATAGATAATACCGATATCTTCAATTGTTAATCGATTAATTAAATTATTAACGATTATTTTTAATTCAATATTGTATACAAACTAGAAAAAAGTAATCAATGTTATGTTGTTATCAAATTTCAGTATATACGAGATTTTTATAATGAAGATCCTGAATCATATACAAATGAAATACATCAGTTGGAAAGCTTACGTACTATGGCAGTTAGGCCTCCTCTCGATATGGCAGGCTGTTTATTATTAAAAAAATATTATTGTCAGTTGCACTTTTTACAAAGTAGATTTCCAATGGGAAAAGATGGTGGTGCTGCTATAACATTTACATGGTAAGAAAAATATTATTATCTTTTTGTTTCTTTTTATAGAAATAATGAATTCATTACCTAATGAAGGAAGATAATATTTCTTCTAATATGATTTAAATAGGAGAGATACATACGCAAATATGGTATGCTCATTGGCTAGTATACGTTTTGAAATAATATCAATTTTATATAATATTGGCGCTATGCACACGCAATTGGGTGCACGTACTGAACGAACCACTGCTGATGGAATGAAAATGGCATGCGCACACTTTCAATGTGCAGCATGGGCTTTCGAGCACTTAAAAAACAGTTTTCCACAACCATCCGGCGTTGATTTGGCACCAGAGCTTATGACATTTATGTATCAACTTTGCTTAGCTCAAGCGCAAGAGTGTATATTAGAAAAAAGTATGCTTGATAATCGTAAACCAACTATCGTAGGTAAGGAACAACAGTATTTATCAAGAAGAACGTGTGTCAATGATTAAAGTAATAGAATTAATTTATTCTGATAAAATATAATATTTTATAGCCAAAGTCGCTAGACAAATTGTAGATTATTATACATCTACATTGAGTACCTTGGAACAAGGAGGTAGCGAAGATGGTACCATTTCAGACACAGTCGGGACTAAAATTTATAAGGTATTAATATATTATTTATGTATTACATTAATATTTTGGAATCACTCCTTGATAAAAGTAATATTTTAGAGTTGGAAACGATACGTCAAATTTAAAAGAGCATATCATTTAGCTGTTACACATCTATATCAAGGTCTTGCTGCAGAAGAACAGAGGAAAATGGGAGAAAGGGTTGCTTTTTACAATGCCGCACTAGCTTCTCTTAATGAAGCACATTTGATTTATAGTTTTGCTAAGGGATCTGTAGACGTAACAAGTGCTCCTGACGAGAAAGCCGTAGTCGAGGAAGCGCTTACATTCACAAACGATGTTATTGAAGGTAAAAGGAAAGCTGCGAAAAATGAAAATGAATTCATTTACCACGAAGAAATACCAGAAAAAGAAACACTTACTGTAATCAAGGGAGCCTCTCTGGTTAAAGGAATATCTTTTAGTATAAATGATCCAGAAGTTTCAGGACCAGATATATTTGCCAGGTTAATACCTGGATCAATGTTGATAATTTATAATTATATTACTTCTTTTTTTAACTAAAGATATTGTATTTTAATATT